GGAAAGAGTCCCAGGCCTCTGGAAACTGAGCCTGTCCTGCATCCTGGGCTCGGAGCCCTGCCCCCCAGAGTCACCTCATTCAAGGCCACCCTGCAATGAGCAGGATCTACTGCATGCGGGTACAACCCTCCACAGTGTATAAGTGTGTGAGACCCTATGTAGCTCATGAAGCCTTGGACAAACTTAACCACCTTCACAAGTGCTGCCTTACACAGGGGTGCAACCATCTAGAGCATTCTTTCTTTCACATATGTTTGAAAATTTTTAAATTAAAAAATTTAAAAATCTACATTTGTATATACATTTTATGCAAAAATATATACATTTGTATATACACACAAATATATATATTTGTACATATATGTGCATATATATGTATATATATATTTTTTATATCCTCTTGATATCACGGGTTTGATCTTCCTAATATTCATTTATACTAAATTCCAAAAGGAAAACATTTTGTTGGGGACAATATGGGAGATTTGAATATGAGCTGGGTATTGAGTAGTATTAGGAATTATTTTTAATATTTTTAGGTGTGCTTAATGACACTGTGGTTATTAGGGAAAATGTCCTTGTAGTTAAGAGATGCGCATTAAAATATTTACAGGTAAAATATGAAGATCTGTAATTTACTTTAAAATACTTCAGGAAAAAAAAAGATGAAACATGCCAAAGTGTTAAGATTTATTAGATCTGAGTAATGGGTATGTGGGTTTTCATTATTCTATAGTCTCTACTTTTCTCTATGTTTGAAATTATTCATAAAAGAAAGTTTTTTAAAAGTAAAATAATTAAACCATGAAAAAAATTACATAACTTGCAAAGTTAGTGATGTTTGTACATATCCCTCTGAAATCGTCTCAGAGCCATTGGGTCCCTCAGGTCAGGAAATGCTACATTATGTCCCTGGGCCCATTTTATTGATGAGGAGACTGAGGCCTGGAGAGAGGAAGCGGCTTCCCCGTCTGCCACAGTACCCAACTTGCCAGTTAAGGTGGGGGTCATGCCTGATTCAGCCCTTGACCCTGGACCACACCGAGAGATAAGCTTTTGTCTGCTGTATTGGAGCTCAATCACAGCTCCAGTGGTGCTACTCCCCTGCTCTAGAACCTTCCATGGCTCCTCATGGCCTCGTGCAGAAATCACAAATTTCTCAGCCTGGCACTTAAGTCTACCCAGGATCTGCGCACTCTTCCAGCCTCATTTCATATACTTTGGGTTATGACCTGAATTGTGTCCTCTCCCCCCAAATTCATATGTCGAAATCTTAACCCCCTAATACCTCAAAATGTGACTGCATTTGCAGATAAGGTCTTTAAAGAGGTGATTATGTTAAAATGAGGCCATTAGGGTGGGCCCTGATCTAATATGACTGGTGCCCTTATAAGAAGAGGAAATTTGGACACAGACACACATTGCGAAGACCATGTGAGGACACAGGGAGAACATGGCCATCTACAAGCCAAGGAGAGAGGCTCAGAAGAAACCAGCCCTGCCAACACCTTGATCTTGGACCTCTAGCCTCCAGAACTGTTAGAAAATAAATTCCTGTTGTTTAAGACCCCCAGTCTATGACACTTTGTTAGGGTGGCTCTAGCAGACTAATACACTATGTCTCTCCTTGCCACCAATGGCTCAGTTGGAATGGGTCAACTGTCACTGCGTAAATTAGCCTGACCCTTTCCCACCTCCCCACCTTTGTTCACACTGTTCCTTCTGCCAGAGGTTCCCGTCCCTGTCCCCTCTCCATCTGGTGAAACTCTCCTCAGCTTTCAAAGTCCAGCTGAGATGCCACCTCCTCCAGGAAGACATCCTCCCTGCCCTCTAGAGAGACCTTTCTCCCACCCCAGGTTCCCCCAGCAAACCTAGGCCTCTTTTAGATCCTGCAAGACTGAGGGCTCCTTAAGGGTGTTCACTGGCTCAAACTCTTTATATCCCAATGCTCAGCACAGGACAGGAGCCAACAGTCAATGTCAGGAATTGACCAATGAATAAATCGTCAGAGGGGCCTCTCAAACTTTGGTGTGCTAGGGATCTTGCTACAATGCACACTGTGGTCCAGCAAGCCTGAGATTCTTCATCTCTCTCTAGCTCCACGTGATGCTGATGTATCTGATCCCCAGACCACACTTTGAGTAGCAAAGGGTTCAAGCACTCAGGACATTCCATACTGGGACACAGTGACCAGTTCAAGTGTCTGGTACCCCGCCAAGCTCTGCCTGGCACAGGGCTCTGCACACAGCCAGGGCCGACTGAGCACGCAGATGCTGTCTGAGTGCACTGGAGTGATGGACCGCTGTCCACCTGATCTGCTTTCACCTGGAAGGCCCCTTTGCCCCAGATGCTGCCCTGTCTGACAGCTGGTGCCAGGAATACCATCGTTAGCATCTCAGAGCCTGGCTGGAAGCTGCGCTGTTCACATTGGGTTATGATCTCAGGAAGAAATGGATACAGCAGGTTGGGAGGTGGTGGGTGGTGTTACCCAAAGGCACTGAAACTTCTTGTAC